CTAATGTACACACTAATATACACACTAATGTACACACTAATGTACACACTAATGTACACACTAATGTACACACTATTGTACACACTAATGTACACACTTATGTACATCCTGTGCACGGCTGTGGTGAAGTGTTTCGTGAAGTTATCCTGTAACTGGAGGGTTGCTGGTTCGAGCCCCTGTTCCAGTCGTCTCTGTCGTTGTGTCCTTGGGTAAGACCCTTCACCTGCCGTACCTACTGATGGTGGTCCGAGGGTCCGAGGGTCCGAGGGTCCGAGGGTCRGGTGCGTGTTAGCTCCTCCTCTGTCAGTGTGCCTCAGGGCAGCTGTGGCTACAGTGTAGCTTAGCACCATCAGTGTGTGAAGGAGTGAAGTGTAAAAAGGTTTGGGGTCCCAGTGGGGCTTGATAAAATGACATGTAAGTGCAGTCAGTGTATCTTGTACCATGGTAGTGTACATAATAAAGTGTGTACTAATACACAGACAGAGATGAATGATGAGTTTTCAGGTGGGATGAAGAGTCAGAGTTTCCCCTTCAGATCATTCTTTGTGGACTGGCTTCTATAAACAGGCAGAGGCAACATGAGTCACTGAACCTGGAGGAGACCGAAGGAGAGAGAGATGGAGGGAGGAGAGAGATGGAGGGAGGAGAGAGGGGAGGGAGGAGAGAGGTGGAGGGAGGAGAGAGGGGAGGGATAACTACAGCAGATCAGAGCATCTGAGGGAGGAGGAGGAGAGAAGAAGTCCAGCCCACTCTGCTAAAACCATTGAAGTGCTGAAGGAGGGAGCAGTGAAGTGTGAGGGAGGGAGCAGCCGAGGTAACACAGAGAGAGGAGAGGAAGTCCTTCGTCTGGAGAACTTGGTCCAACAGACACTGTGCAGCGAGCCACTTCACCCCGGGAACAAGGATCCTCCTGCAGCTTCATCCATTCATCAACATCTCAGAGTTCCTCCTGCTTCGCTTCTTTTTTCTTCTTCTTGTTTTTCTTTTGGTCTTTTCTTTCGTATGACGCCTCCACATTTTGCAGCCATCTGTCCGTGACAAAAAGATAAGGATTACTCATTTTCTGCCTCGCCGTTGTGTGTTTTTGTCTTCTTTTTGTGCCGTCCTCTCTCTCTGGTCTCGTTGCAGTTTGGTCTGTGCTTTGGCAGGTGGACTGTGAGCCGAGCTGAACTTTCAGCTCCTAAACTTCTGAGAGAAGAGAGACAGAGAAGTGGACTTGTGTGTGTGTGCCGGTGCTTCAGTACCAGACAGCGTCTTCCTTCAGGTGTCTCCTGACATCATGTCTGTGGTGTCGTTACTCAGCTGGACCATCCTGGTCCTGGTCCAGGTTCTCYGCTGCAGCTCTTCTTCAGAGTCCAGGCTCCAGCCTCTCACCCTGACCGTCCACGCTCAGCACCAGCCTCCGCCGGACGCCGCCTCCAGCTGCCCGTCCTGCGCCCTGGCGCGGGTACGGCGAGGCGAAGGCTCGGTGGAGGGGGAGGCGGCTCAGCAGGACGTGGTGGAGGCGGTGAAGAGGCACATCCTCAACATGCTGCACCTGCAGGACCGGCCCAACATCACCCGGCCCGTGCCCCGCGCCGCCCTCCTCAACGCCCTGCGCAAGCTCCACGTGGGGCGAGTGGCCGAGGACGGCAGCGTGCAGATCGAGGGGGAGGAGGAGGCCAGAGGGAGGGGAGGCCAGGGGGGAGGAGGAGGGGGCGGAGCCACGGCGGCGGGAAGTCACGCCGGAGACGGCGACGACGTCCAGGAGACGACGGAGATCATCACCTTCGCCGAGGCTGGTGAGTGAAGCCAAGAGCTGTACGACATCAGGATTACACACACAGACACACAACATGACCACAAACACACACACACACACACACACACACCAACATACATCAGTGTGAGTGTTGAATACAACTGTAAATGTTCCAAACTTTCCATCTGTGAGTCCACCTGCTTAAATCCACCTGTACACACACACACACACACACACACACACACACACAC